GACTGGCACTTAACCCTGGGCGAGGCACTGCAAAGAGCGGAAGATCCAGGTTGCGGACAAGAGCAATGGCGTACCTCGCACATCACCATTGAGCTCGTGAGCGGGGAGTGAGCAGCCCAGGCACCCCAGGGGCGGGCATCACGAAGTCTCACCCAACGAGAACACGGCATGCCATCGGCCGATCGATTTCAAAAGCCCGTTCAGCACAACCGCACGCGCTCGCCCGCAGGCCGACACGCCTATAGGCAAGCCATCCGATAGACCGCCAGCAGCACGCACATGTTCTCGCCGGCTCTGGCAAAGCAGCAGACGTCACGTGGCCCCCTCCGCAATTCGATCAGCCATGGCTTCCCTGACACCGGCAGACTCCGATCGCCTCCGGCCAACCGGCCTAGTCTACCTCGCCAGAACCCTGCAGACCAAGGAGAGCGTGCGCCGTTGGAGCCAGGCCCTACGAAAGTGGCGACCGCCGCAGGCCCCGCTGCGAGTACACCTGGAGCACAACAACCTCAACGAGCACGATGCCGCCGAGCTCCTCCAGGCCATCGGCGGAGAAGTCCAGGCGGTGTACCTGCACCACAACGACATACGGTGCTTGGAACCCCTCGCGGCCTTCATCGACAAGCATGCCGAGACCTTACAGGAGCTGCACCTGAGCCACAACCGCCTCTCCACAGGGGCGACACGAGCCCTACTTCTTCAGCTCGGCGACAACAGACCCAGCAGCACTGGGACGCAGATCGGCAGCATGTGCTCCTGGCTGAGGCTAGAATTCAATCACATCGACGTGGAGGAGCTGCTGAATCGCCTGCCGCCGGGCATCCAAGCAAGGCTGCAGCTGGAAGACAAGGGATGTACCCCGGAGCGGTGCCACTGCAAAAATCGCCGGCATGTGAAGCGCATTCACTCGAAGCTCCTGGCACTACAGCGCCCGGCCACACCCGAAGACGAGATCCACCGCCGCGAGGGACGCAGTGAGCCAGCCAAACCACAAGGCCGGCTCCAGCCGCCCGCAAAGCCCGAGAATATCCCGAGTGCTGCCAAGCAGACACCCCAGCAAACAGGGACTGCCGACAACCACAAGGCACAGTAGCAGTGTAAGAATAGCTCCGAAAGGCAACAACGACCAACCGGACCCCATAACATAGCGACACGCCAGGGAGCTAGCAGAACAGAGAGCCAGGATGACAGAGTTGCACAGCAGAGACCACGGCCAGGCAGTACAGTAGCACGAGCAGGCGAGTCTCACCCCACCGACTATATAGAGGACGGATGCTCGCCGCAAAAGCACGACCGTGGCCGCCCCGTTGCAGCAGATGCATCAAGAGTGAAGCGCACAAGTGGCACCTGCCGCCAGACGCCGCGGCCGCGCCAGGTAAAGAGAGACCCTGCAGTCACACCGACACCCACGCGTAGCAGAGAGCTCGACGCCATGGCGACAAGAGCAGACGGCAACCCCTATGCCGGCAAAAAACGACGCTTCAGCGCCACCTCCATTACATCTACCACGCCAAGCAGCTCGGCAGCCAGCGACAGCAACGGCGACGGGTCCGAGCTGGTCGCGACCATCCGACGCTGGGGGAGCACCTTCGGGGTCTTCGACGACGGATCAAAGACAGAGACTCTCTGGCAGCTGCAGGTGACGCACGGCGGCCGACACGCCTTCGGCTACCACCTGACGACGGTATGCAGGGAGGCACTCCAACGGCACCCCAACGAGAAAGTCCGTGACCCACTTCAGCTCGAGTCAGAACTGCACATCAAGATCCTCAACGGAGCGCCGCCCCACAACGGGGCAGCAGATCCAGACGGAGTCGGGCTCGAGGCCTGGCAGCCGGTCATCTACGCGCCGACCCCAGCGGACGGCATGAACATCATACACTTCATCATGCAGCACAAAGTCAGCACGGGACACCTCCTGCAGACGCCGCAGCTTCTTGCGCTCTTCCCAGAGGGGCCAGACAACGTGGCGGTCCCTTCACCATGGGTAGTCAAGAAGAAGCATGTCCTGCAGGCAGCACCCTTCAAGGCACTCCCGCCACGAGGCCGGCGCCACGTGCTCTTGCAGGTAGAACTGGCCCCGCCGGAGCAAGAGCCATGCAGCATCGCGGCCGCCCAAGAAACGCCAAGCAGCCAAGAAGAAGCGAAAAGCCCGGCAAGCAGAAATGCCGAGATGGACTACAAAGTCATGATCTTCGGCGGCATCTACACCTTCCGCGAGCATTTCGACACCGCCCGCATCCAGGGCGGCCTGGTCCCTCAACCCGACGCAACGAAGGACGAGTACGTGCGGCACCTCAAGCTAACACAGTCGGAGAACAGCTTCCACAAGCTCGAAACGATCCTCGAAAAAGTGCTGCTACGAAGCCCTGTCTACCTCATCGACCAGACGAACCAAGCAGGCGACCCCCTCGTGCAGTGGCTCCTGAAGCAGCCCTCGGTATATCTAGGCGAGAGGTCAGCAGAGTCAGCATGACACGCAGGCCAGCAGGCCCAGAGAAAGCGCAGCTGGGTAGGTCAGCTAATAAGGCAGACAGGTCCGGCCCGCTACGCGCGAAGCCCGAAAGCACCAGGCGCCAAGAAAAAAGGTCGCAGAGCAGCGTATACCCGGACCACGTCCCGAAGCCCCGTTGCCACGTCCGGTTTCACGGCCACGGAACCCTGCAGACACCAGGCTCAAGCAACAAACCGCCGGCGGCAGCATGAAGACCTCCTGGCAGGCCACCGCCACACGGCCCCGAGGGGCATGGAGGCCGAGAGCGCCACGCTGGAGCCACTGGTCCAAACCCTACGGCCCCCGGCGCAAGCAGACCACCGCCACACGGCCCCGAGGGGCATGGAGGCCGAGAACGCCACGCTGGAGCCACTGGTCCAAACCCTACGGCCCCCGGCGCAAGCAGACCACACGCCCCAAGCTCGTCCAGATCATCAAGCAGCACTGGCCGAACGAGCACGAGTACACCGACGTCAAGTCCCTCCGACGTCTGCTGCTGAGCCTGCTGACGACCGCAAGCCCACGACGACCCCGACGGCCGCACCTCTGGCAAGACGCGTGCTGGTTCCTCACCCGGCAGTCCCGGACTCAGCAAACCCGAGAGCAGGCCGGCTAGCACGACCTGCGCCAGTGCCCATGCAAGCCACCAAGGTGCGAAGCGGCGCAAAGCCACAAAAAAGAGGCGCCATGGAACCAGCTGCTGAGGAAGCTGTACCGGATGTGAATCAAAAAGACAGCACGGTAATCCAACGCCATGCCAGGGCAGCCCCGCACGGACTCGCAGCCCACGCCTCGTTCGGCTCAAGACAACAAAGCTCTCGACACCGCCCGAACAGCAAAGCCGAGCCCGGCACCAGAGCACCATGGCAGACAAGAGACCCATGTCCGGCACCGCCGCGAACAAGAAGAAGAAACGCTTCAGCGCCGGGGGAATCACGCTACGAGCACTCGGCAGGTCCGCCGACGCCGCCGCGAACGGAGACGGCACCGAGCTCGTGGCCACGGTGCGGCGCTGGGGAAGCACCCTCGGAATCTTCGAGAACGGAACCAGCTCGCAGCCGCTGTGGCAAATCCAAGTTGTACACGGGGGACGAGGAGGCTTCGGGTACAGCCTGCTCCCAACTTGCAGGGAGGCCCTGCAACAGCATCCCGACGACGACATCAGGGACCTTCAACAACTGGAAGCCCAGAAACACATCAGGATCTTGATGGGAGCACCCCCGCTGTCCGGCCCCTCAGATCCCGACGGAGTCGGCCTACAAGACTGGCAGCCCGTCCTGTACGCCCCCACGCCAGAAGAGGGCCTCGAACTCATCACCTTCATCATGCGCCACAAAGTCACGACCGGACAGATCGCGCAGCTGCCGCAGTTCATCGCCCTGTTCCCCGGAGAAGCAACCGCGAGCGTGCCCGTACCGTGGGTGGTGCACGACGCGCACAGGCTGCAGCAGCGTCCGTTCCAGGCGCTCCCGCCCCGAGGCCGCCGACACGTCCTGCTACAAGTGGAGCCGGCGGCTTCCACGACCGCACCCACGCAAGACCCGGAGGACGAGACAACAGAAGTCCCCGAGGGCCAGCACAGCCGCCGAGCATACGACGTGATGTTCTTCGGGGGCATCTACGGCCTCCGCGAGCTCTTCGACGCCGCCAACATCCAGGGCGGCACCGTCCCAGTCCCGGACAGCACACAGAGCGAATACGTCCGGCACGTGCAGCTGAAGCCTTCCGAAGACCAGAAGGCCAAGCTTCAAAGCATCCTGGAGAAGGTCCTGCTGCACATCCCGGTGTACCTGATTGACAACACAGACACTGAGCAGGATCCCCTGATCAGTTGGCTGCTAGAACAACCGTCCGTCCACCTAGGCGAGAGGTCAAACTAGCGAGCAGCGACCTGCCGGAAAAAGGCCGAAAGGCCAAGCGAAGGCCGGCCCGGACAGCCTATATAGTGGCCAAGTGTACAGAAGCCGTCCGGCAGCGGGCCCGCCAGGACAGCAAGGACACGGCGACAGCCACCTCCCCGCCCGCCCCCCCCCCCCTCCTCACTGCCCCTCACTTGCCCACACTGAGAGCAGGCGTCGGCACGGAGGCAAACAGAAAAAGGCGCACCGGATAGACTCTCGCCGAACAGAAGCCTGCAGGAGCTAGCGACATGAGCACAGGCCAGCAACGCAACCTCCTCGAGACAGCGACAAGCCAAGGCTCAAGCCCGCACCAGCAGCGCAGTGGAAGTCCCAGAGAAAGCATGGCCCGCAAGAACTCCACCGCGCACTGGCTACGCATCCTGGAGATCATCAACGAAGCGAACAGAGGAGGCGGAGAGCAAGATGAGAAGAAACTTTCCCGCGAGATCGACGAGGACAGCAGCGAAGGGGAAGAAGAAGACGAAGAGCAAAAAAAAGAGCGCGGAAACGACGGCATCTTCCGCTGCCCACCAGAATCAGAGTCCCCCCGGCAAGAGATCTGCGAGGGGCCCCTCGCAAGACCACCGGTGCCTGAAGACGAAGACATGGCCCGCCTGATACAAGAGGAAAGAGCGCAGCTGCAAGGCTTCCTGTGCAGGGAGAATTGCCCACCAAAGGCCCTCATGCGAGAGTGGCTCCTCAAAGCGGCAATCGAGCCAGACACAGAGACCCAGCGACGATTCGGGCAGGTGATGAGACAGATGAACTGGACGTACGCAAATCTGGGCTGGTTTCACTACCGGTCCATCCTCAACCTTTGGCGGTCCGGCACAGCGGCGCCTGAGGACGCCTACGACGCACAGCGCGAAGCCGGCATAAAGCTCTACGGACGAGGCGGAAGACAATGCATGCAGTTCAACTACTACGTTCTCCACTACACGATGTGCGGAGAGGACTTCACCCGAAGACCTCCCCTGGCAGCCTGGGGTTTTACCAGCGAAATCCAGCTCGTGTGGGACGGCATCGGCTCCTGGCAAGCGTAGCAGTGTAGGAGCCAGGAGGGACACGGACAGACTCCGGCACCGGACGCCGCTGCAGGAGGCGAGGAAAAAAGGCAGCTGTGTGCCGAGCACTCGCAGTGCATAGCCACGCAACCACGACGCCGAGAACCGCAACCGCAGCACCGTTGGCACGAGCAGCAGAAAGAAGGCGCAACCCGCAGGGCAGCAGCGCCCGCCCGGTCATGGAAGAGGCACAACCAGTGCCCGGGCTATAAGCGATCGCAAGCCCCAAAGTCCGAAGACCCGACTGCATCCAAGGACAAGCCACACAAGGCGGCAAAGCTAACGGCGAACGGCTGCCCTGCAACAGCCGAGGAAGTCGGCCACCCGGCAGCACGATTCAGCCGCACCGAACAAGAGCACCATGCACCCCAAATGCCCAGGCGAACAGCATCCACCGCGGACACCGGACGCCCGTCCACGAGACCGGGCTCTACGCATCGTGCTACACTGGCACCTCGAACCAGGACTGCATCAGCGACTCCAAGCAGAGCTCTGGCACCAGGCTTGCCAAACGTGGTGGCGAAGCTGGAAGGCCGACGGCTGTCCCGCGAGCTACACGCAAGAGGCCAAAGCGGGCATGATCCAGATCGCGGCCCACCACGCACAACATCCGGCCCGCATGATCTCGACAAGCAACACCTTCGCCAGTCCTTCCATCCGGCTGGAACTTCGGAAAGCGCAGATCATCCTGCTGGAGGCTTCCGAAAGCGACATGCGCAACACAATCGGGACCATCGCAGCAGCACGCCGGAAGCCCGTGAAATAGACGCGGCGGCGCCGGCAAACAGAAGAGAGCAGCCGTCTCCTCGCCAGAACAGGAAAAGCCGAAATGAAGTTTGGTTCACCGCGCATGGATGCGACCAGGGAGACACAGCGCACACGCTGCAACCCGCGATCGGACGCAACCACAGCGCGTCCCCGCAGCCACAAACCAGCCATCAAGGTAGAATCTCGCCAAGAAAGACCTTAACGCCATGGCTCCCGTGAAATCGGCGACTCGGAGTAAAGATGGTTCTATGCTCGGGAAAAGATCCTGCGACAGCACACAGCTCCCGAGCAGCAAGCTGAAGCCAGCCAAGCCAAGCCGCCCGATCCAAGGCAGAAGCAGCGACGAGAACCGCCACGGCGGGCACAACATGTCCCGGAAGCCTGCCACCCGCACCGAAGGAGCAAGCGCCGGATTGCCGTCCCACGCAGCCGACGACCGCCGCCGGAACCCCAGAGACAGCAAGCTTCGGTCGTGGCAAGCTATGAGCACCACTGCCGCCACCGAGGACACACAAGCAGAGGCCCCGCAACAAGACGACGAGCTGACCGCGACGGCGAAGGCCACGCTGCAAGCGCCTCCGTCCACAAAAGAAGAAGCCGCAGGGGAAGCCCCGGAAGCCCCGGAAACCCCGGAAGCCGCGAAAGCAGCGGGTGCCGCGTCCCCGACACCCAGGTGACGCTGCAACAGGACGTTATGGATGACGAAGAAAAGAAGACGACTCCAGAGAAGACACCGACGCTCGGAGACCGGATCATGGTGACGCAAGAAGCCTGGTTGGCGCTCCTGCTGAATGGATGGAAGACCATGGAAGTCCGCAGCAGTCCGGCGCCGCCAGGACCCATCTGGCTGGGCTACGCCGGCCGCTTATACGGCTCCGCAACAATTAGCGAGTGCCGGAAGCTGGCACCGGAGGATTTCGAAAGCACCAGGGATCAGCACCGGCACGTGGGCCGAATCAACCAGGACGACACGCTGTACGGCTTGCTGCTGACGGACGTCGTCCCGCTAGCACAGCCAAGAGACTTCTACCGCCCCCCAACTTCAAAATCCTGGGAGGTCTTCCGCAACGGGCCGGAAGAGAAAGCCCCCCGCAAAAAGAACCACAAAACGCCGGGGACCCTAGACAACGCCCTGCGAGATCGGACAGAGGGCGGCGAAGGTGCAGAAGATAAGGCCGTCGAACCATCTCCAGGCGAGGCCATGCCCCGCCGGAAGCGCCAACGCCGCGTGCCAGCTCTCCCACTTCCATGACCAATATGGAAATCGCCGGCCAGTACAACTGAGCGCAAAGCGGTAGGTCTTTTCAGAAAGCACCAGGAGTGAGCTCGCCAGGCAAAGCGGCCCGAACCCCGCGGCCCGAGCTACGACGCCGAGCCTGAGCACGGACAAAAAGCCCGGTGCAGATGGCGAGAGGCACGGCGCGGCCCTGCGACAACAGGACACAGAGGCAAGCACGACATGAGGAGCACCGACCGCAGCTGTTCTGACCCATAACAGGGCGGGTAGCCGAGAGCGCACAGGCCCCGAGTCCAGCCAGCACGGCATGACTCGCAAGGAACACGGCAGCCGCGCCATGCCCCGACGGACGCCGTGGGCAGACATGGAGGACGGCAACAGAGACCCGGGGGCCTAATAAGCACCTCCGACTGCACCGTGCCAAGGATAGCAGCAACACGGAGACTGCCCGCGCCCCAGCTCCATCGGCCGCACACGCAGCCTCGGCAAGCGAGCTTCGCTCATCAGGCAGAGAAAACGTCCGCAGCATCGGCACGGACCAGCGAGGACCCGCGGACGGAACCGCACGTCAGAGACGCAGGACATTGCGAACAGAGGGCAGAAGAGAAACGAGCCGCCAGGAGCAACAGGCCGAGAACGACGTGAAAGCCTCGCAGCCCCAGAAGTGGATGGCGGAGCAGAAGACACGCTGCAGCCGCAAGAAAGAGAGCCAGCAGCGGCAAGGCTCTCAGGCGAGAGGCGGCCCCTGAGAGCGAACGCATCTCTGTCTGCTCGAGCCTCAGGAACGCCACCAGGACCTTTTCCGACGCCACGCAACACCAGACGATCCCACTCCAACACTTCGCGGCCGGCGCCGACGCGGCACGGAGCCCCTGCCTCAGGACCCTGCATATAGCATCGGCCTCAGAAGCCCAGCGCCAAGCCCCAGAAACACCGCGCCTGCTGCGACCGAAGGCGAGCCGCAGCAACCTGACGGGCAAGCCTACTACTACAGCCTACACGAAGAAGTCCAGCAATTCGTCCAGGCAGTCATGTACCACGAGCTGGAGCAAGAACAGCTCAAGTGGTGGCAGGACACCCTCAAAGAACGATGCCGCTACCACCGCTTCCCGTGTCGAACCTGGTTCGAGCTCGTCTACAAGTGGCAGCCAGTACTGGCGCCACCAGAACCAGCAAGCAGCGCCAGAGCAGAAGGGGATCGGGCACAGCCGCTGGCAGCAGACGGCCCGCCCCAACCGCAAAGCTCGCAAGCCCGGCCAAGGCCGCAATCCTACAGCATCCCGTGCTACGTCCCCATCATGCTGAACTACGAGCACGACGGCTGTCCCGGGCAAAAACCCAGCATAAGCCTGCACCGAGTCTAGCGCCGGCACAGCCCCCTGAGAGCTAGCGCAGACTGTACAGTAATGGGCAACAGCACGCGAGAGACAGAAAAAAGGGCGGCCGCGGGGCAGGATGCAGGGCCAGCAGAGGAAGGGCGCCGCACGCATGACAGCGCCAGGGCCAGAATAAGACCTAGGCAGCCGCGCCCTCGACGCAAAGACACCGTAGCTAGGAGGCCTGCCAGGCGACGGCACCACCCAGCACCGCCGCCGCCGCCATAAGCTCCGCGCACTGCCACGCCACCACGGCCCCACCGTACAATCGCCCACGCAAAGCACATGGAGGCCGACGTCCCCTGCCACGAGCAGTCCAGCACGGAGACGGAGAACGCAGACGCGGAGCCCCAGCACGAAGAGCACAAGGTCAGCCTGCTCACCGAGGGCCTAGATCACCTGCTGCCGCTCAACCTGGTCAGAAGCCCAAACGCACCGACAGACTTCCCAGCTCGCGGAGAAGGACCATTGCCGCCAGACCTACCAGGCAACTTCGTTGCGGACAGGCTCCAGCACGTGAACGCCCACACGAGAGATGTGAACCTTCGCTTCGACGAGACAACACACACCTACTTCTGGAAGACCAGACGCGTGCGAGAGTCCGTGACGCAGGTAATCCACGGATACGCCGCGGGATTCGACGCGGACAAGACGCTCCAAAACATGATGGAAGGCGCCCACTGGCCCAGAGCCGGCTACCTCAGCATCACCCCGCCACCGGACGTGAGAGACAAGATCGGCCAACTGGCCAGGGGCCCCCGCATCCTGGCGATGCTCGAACAGAGCGACCAGGACGACGGGGAACTGGACCGAGAACTGCAGGAGGCCCTCCAGCAGGCAGGCCCGCCACACGCAGCCGCGCTGCGCGCCCTCGCTATGCCGAGTGACGACGTGAAACGAAAATGGGAAGCCGCCCGCGACAAAGCAGCCAAAGAAGGGACGTGGATGCACGCCCAGTTCGAGTGCCTGCTGAACGGAGGGACTGTCAAGGCGATGACACCGGAGATAAGCCTGCTCTTCAAGTTCCTAGACAGCGTGCGACACGCGACGGCCTACAGAACGGAATGGAAGATCTACGCCGACGACATCGACGTAGCCGGCAGCATCGACCTCGTCCTACAGCAGGCCGACGGCAGCCTGGCTCTCGTGGATTGGAAGCGGAGCAGCAGAATAGCAAGCCGAGGAGAGCACTTCAACCGCTACATGAAACCCCCTCTGCAGCACCTGGGCGACAGCAGCCTCACCCACTACCACCTGCAGATCAACATGTACCGATGGATCCTGCAGAGGCACTACCGGAAGATCGTGACAGAGATGTACATCGTTGGAACGCACCCCGACAACGGCCAGGAACCGTGGGTGCAGCAGGTCGAGCTACTAGACAAGGAGATCGCAGACCTCGTAAAGGACAGAAGCAGGGTGCACGACAACGTGCGGGACGAACACACAGACTAGTGCCGGACACTCGCAAGCCTCGGGCGCCAAAAGGAGGGAAAAAGTGCGAGCGTGGTCACAGAGGCACCGCATGCAAGAAAGATAGGACGGAGGCGAGCACGAACCGCACGACGAAGAGCTGGCGGACAGGCACACCAAGAGCC